GGGATAGCGGATAGAGGGGTAACGGGATAGTGGGATAACAGGATGGGGGATAGCGGGATAAGGGACAGAGGGACGGCGGGATAGCGGGACAGCAGGATGGGATAATGGGATTGTGGCATAACGGGATAACAACAGGGATGGCGTAACGGGATGGGAGCTTGGATCAGAACTGGGATGGGATGATGGAATCCATGGGATGGGGTGGGAACTAGGATGGGATCCATGCGATAACGGGATGGGAACTGGCATGGGAATGATGGGAATGCTGGGACTGGAACTGGGATGGGATAATGGGATGGGATCTATGGGATGGGAACAGGGATGGGATAATGGGATAAGGGGATGGGAATGATGGGATGATGGGATAACGGGATAATGGGATGGGATGGGATCCATGGGATGGGATAATGGGAATGATGGGAACGATGGGATAACGGGATAATGGGAATGATGGGAACGATGGGATGGGATAATGGGATAAGGGGATGGGAATGATGGCATGATGGGATAACGGGATAATGGGAATGATGGGAATGATGGGATGGGATAATGGGAATGATGGGATGGGACAATGGGAACGATGGGATGATGGGATAACGGGACAATGGGAATGATGGGATGGGATAATGGGAATGATGGGATGGGACAATGGGAACGATGGGATGATGGGATAACAGGACAATGGGAATGATGGGAACAATGGGATGGGATAATGGGATGGGAATGATGGGATGATGGGATAATGGGACAATGGGAATGATGGGAACGATGGGATGGGATAATGGGAATGATGGGAATGATGGGATGGGATAATGGGAATGATGGGATGGGATAACAGGAATGATGGGAATGATGGGATGGGACAATGGGAATGATGGGAACGATGGGATGGGGCCCAGCCGGGCCCGGTATGGTAGATAGGGAAAAGGCGCTGCGGAAGATCTCGCGATGTCACGGAAAGGCAGGACCCTCTGTTCCCCGTAGATAAGAAATTAACATAGGAATGTAGCCTCCCTCAACCGAATACCAGTAACTTTCCATCCCCTACCCAGTAACTGTCCACCCCTTACTAACCATAGATGGTAAAGACAGATCCACGTTGACGTAGAGACCCCTTAGACTATAAAAACCCAAGAGATGAGATAATAAAAGCCTTTTGACCGTCCATCACATTGATGTCTGCGTGTGTCATTGGCCCGAGCGGCCCTGGAGAGTTTGGGCCGCCGTGCTGTTCCTCTGAACCAGGTCGCCTGCCTTGCTCCAGAAGGCAACAGCCCGGGGGGCCTCAGGTGACCCCAAACCCTTCAGGACCGAGCCCACTCCCAGGGTCCGAAGGAACCCAAGGGCAAGGTTGGGGTTTTACCCTAATTTTGTAAATTTAACCCAAACTCAGTGAACCTCACCCAAATCCCAGCGCGTTTAACCCAAATTTCATTATTTAACCCAATTTTTGTTCTATTTAGCCCAGATTTCAGTGGTTTAATCCAAATTTTATTAATCTTCCCCTGTTTAAGCCACAACTCCAAGCCAAGTTTAACCACTTTTTATTTTTCCACTTAAATATTCTCTTTAAATACAGCATTGTCCCGGGAAACTGCAGAAAAGCAGGAAAAATGAATAATAGTGGGGAGAAGCTTTGGATTCACTTGGTGGCATTAAATGTGGAGTTAAAATGGAAATTAAAAAACCAAAAAATGAAATTAAAATGGAATAGAAGAAAGGAAAAAAAAAAGGAAGTTAAAAGGGAAATTAGAAAGGAAATAAACTGAATTAAAAAAGAAAGAAGTGCAAGTAAAAATTTAATAAAGAAATAAAAAGGTAATAAAAACAGAGAAAGGAACTAAAAACAAAATTTAAAAAAATTAAATTTAAAAGGGGAAGGAAAACAGAATTAAAAATTAAAGGAGTAAAAAAAAGAAGTAGAAAAAAGGGGAATAAAAAATAAAGCAAGAGATCAAAATGAGATTAAAAGTTCTGAAGCTGCTTTGGGCACCCTGGGGAGAGGTTTGGGGGTCCCCAGGGGTTTTGGGGGGCAGTAGCACCAGCAGGGGCAGATCCATGGAAGCCAGACTGGATCTGGATCAAATCCAACCAGGGGAAAGGGAAACCCCCCCTGAGCCCACGGGGTTGGGAAAACGGGGGAAATGTGGGAATTCTGGGGTGAAATGGGGGAAATCTGGGAATTCTGGGGTGAAATGGGAGAAATCTGAGAATTCTGGGGTGAAATGGGGGAAATCTGGGAATTCTGGGGTGAAACTGGATAAATCTGGGAATTCTGGGGTGAAATGGGGGAAATCTGGGAATTCTGGGGTGAAACTGGATAAATCTGGGAATTCTGGGGTGAAATGGGGGAAATCTGGGAATTCTGGGGTGAAATGGGAGAAATCTGGGAATTCTGAGAGGTTTGGTGTGAAATGGGATAAATCTGGGAATTCTGGGGTGAAATGGGATAAAGCTGGGAATTCTGAGGTTTGGGGTGCAATGGGATAAATCCAGGATTCCATGGTTTGGGGTGCAATGGGATAAATGTGGGAATTCTGGGGGGTTTGGGGTGCAATGGGATAAATCTGGGATTTCCATGGTTTGGGGTGCAATGGGATAAATCTGGGATTTCCATGGTTTGGGGAGCCCCAGCTCGGGGGTCCAGGGCAGGATTTGGGGTCCCCTGCCCCTCTCAGGGGTAACACCGGATTTGGGGCCGTTCCTGTGGGATTTGGGCACCTCCATTTGGGCTCCCCAGGAGTTTGGGGGGGTCACTGAGGCCTCTCCCCACCCCAAACCCCCTCTGACCCCCCTGCAGCCCCTCTGGGCTCCCCCAAACCCTCTGGAACCCCTTGGAACCCCCCTGAACCCCTCAATGCCCCCCAAGTGCCCCTGAGATGTTCTGAACCCCCTCTGAGCCCCCCTCAAACCCCTCTGGCTCTGCCAAACCCCTGAAATCTCTTCTGAAACCCCAAAAAAGCCTCTCAGCACCATTAAACCCCTGAAACCCCCTCTGAACCCCCTTTTTAATCCCTTCCACCCCTCCTTTGAACCCCCCTAAACAACCTCAACCCCTCTGAACCCATTCAAGGCCCCTGAATTCCCTTCTAAACCCCCTTAAATCTTCTGACCCCACTTAAACCCCCTTTGAGCCCCTAAATAAACCAACTTAAACCCCATCTGAGCCCTTTCAGACTCCTCTGAACCCCCTAAAACCCTTCTTAAACCCCCCTTAAACCTCCCTTCAAAAGCCTAAAAAATCCTCTTGACGCCCCCAAACCCCACTGAACTCCCCTGAATCCCCCCAAATTCCTTTTAAAGCTCCTTAAACCCCTCTGAACCCCCTTGATCTCCTAAAAACCCCTTTAACTCTCTTTATGAACCCCTTTAGACCCAACTGAACCCCCTTTAGCCCCCCTTAAACCTCTCTGAACCCCTAAATCCCATAAAAACCCCTCTGAACCCCTTTCAACACCAAAAACCCCCTCAATGCCCTCACAACCCCTGAAACCCCACTCTGAGCCCCCTAAAACCCCCCCACGGGGCACAGGTGACCCCCAGGAGCACCAGGGGACCCCCAAACCTGCTGAGGGGCAGAGCCCAGAGTGGGAAATCTGCTGGAGAAGCCGATGGGGAAACCAAAAATTCGGGAAGAGATTTGGGGGGGCAGCAGCTGGGTTGGGGGGTTTGGGACCCTGGGACCACCCCGGGGTCTGGAGAGTCCAGGTGGGCACGGCCTGGGGGCACAGGGCCCACGAGGTGAGCAGGTCCTGGTGAGCAGATCCAGGGCCACAAGTCCCACAAGGTGAGCAGGTCCAGGTGAGCAGGTCCTACAAGGTGAGCAGGTCCAGGCACACAGGTCCCACAAGGTGAGCAGGTCCTGGGAGTGCTCAGGTGAGCAGATCCAGATGAGCAGGTCCCACAGTCTGTAGGGTCCAGGTGAGCAGGTCCTACAAGGTGAGGAAGTCCAGGTGAGCAGATCCAGGGGCACAGGTCCCAAAAGGTGAGCGGGTCCTGGGAGTGCTCAGGTGAGCAGATCCAGGTGAGGAGGTCCCATAACATGAGCAGGTTCAGGTGAGCAGGCCCCATAAGGTGAGCAGATCCAGGGACACAGATCCAGGTGAGCAGGTCCCACAAGGTGAGCAAGTCCAGGTGAGCAGATCCAGCAGTCTGTAGGGTTCAGGTGAGCAGATCCCACAAGATGAGCAGATCAGGGACACAGATCCAGGTAAGCAGATGCCACAGTCTGCAGGGTCCAGGTGAGCAGATCCAGGTGAGCAGATCCCACAAGATGAGCAGATCCAGCAGTCTGTAGGGTTCAGGTGTGCAGATCCCGCAGTTTGCAGGGTCCAGGTGAGCAGATCCAGGTGAGCAGAATGCAGTTTCGGGGCACAGTCCCAAGCAGGTGAGCAGATCCCAGAACCCAGGAGCGTCCAGGTGAGCCGATCCCCAGGCTCGGAGCAGGCAGCCCCATCCCAACTTTCCCTCTCCTGCCCCTCCCCGGGCTGGAGCTGCTCCTGGGCCGGGCTGATCCCACCTGGCTGACGCCATGAAAGAGGGAAAAGCCCCAGAAATGGGAAGTTTCACCCCAAGACAGATCCCAGGAAGGTCTGGAGCGTGTCCCGTGAATCCCAGCCCAAGGAAGGGCTGGAAGGCCCAGGTGAGTCTGGGGAATCCACACCTGGAGAACCTGAATCCATCCCAGTCTGACCAGTTTGATGCCAGGGGAGATGCCCGGAGCCAGAGGGAGCACAGGTGAGCAGGAGCACCTGAGGAGGGAGTTGCAGGAGCTCTGAATTCAGGAACAGCAGGAGCTGCACACCTGGGCACACCTGCAGGAGCTGCACACCTGGGCACACCTGAGGACTCTGCTGGCACCCTGGGATGGATCCTGAGAACAGGAACAGTTCTTTGGGAAACACAGCCAGGTGAGGTCACCTGCATGGATGGATGGCTGGAGCTCACCTGGGACGGGTAAGGAGCCAGGTGAGAGCTCAGGGCTCAGGCAGGAACAGGTGCCACTGCATCCATGGCACACCTGGGCACACCTGCAGTGCTCTGGTCCTGCTGGAGCTGCTCCAGGAGCACCTGGACACCCAGAGCCCACCTGCAGCGGGCCAGGATCACAGGTAGGGACAGGGACACTCCGGCAGCCTCACATCCCAAATCTGGTCCCTGGAGGGGCAGCTCCAACCCCTCAGCAGCTGCTGGGGGCACCTCCCAGCAGGGAATGAACGTTCCAGAAGGTTCCCACAGGTACAGGTGAGCAGTTCCAGGTGATGGAGGAGCCAACGAGGAGGTGAAGTTGGTTCAACTCCCCAGAATTTCCAGGTGAGGTTGGGGACTCCAGCCTTGGGTCTCTTGTGCCAGTTCCAGGTGTTTCCCAGCTGCAGGTGAGTGGGAGCATCACCTGCACGAGGTGGCTCAGGTGAGACATTCATTAAACAAACAGCAATTAGGGAAAAACTGATTTTCCCTTAAAACCAAGGAAAGTGGAGGCAGCCAGGGGGGACAGAGCTGCTGTGGGATCCAGGAGGCTCCAGCTCAGGTGAGTCCTGGCACAGGTGAGCTCTGCCAGGTGGGATGGAGAGCAGGAAGGATCCCAGAGGCTGCAGCTCAGGTGAGTCCTGGTGACCCCAACCAGGTGAGAAAAGGACTCCTGGCCCTGGGCCAGGTGAATCCTCTGTCCAGAGCAGCCCCCACCAATTAAATAATCAATCCATGGAATAAATAATGGAGCCACAGGGCCTGAGGCCACTCATATGGGCAGGTGGGGCTGCTCCAGGTGCTCTGGGAGGTTTTGGGGCGCTCCCTCCTTGCTCGCAGGGACAGGTGGGACCCCCAGCTCCTTCCTGATGGGGCTGGAGGCCGGAGCTGGGTGCTCCACGTGCCCACTGCCCCCCTTGGCAGGTGCCCGAGGCTCCAGCTGGCACAGGAGCCCAGGGGCATCGGGCAGGTAGGGCTGGGAGCCCACCTGGCCCTGGGGGTAGCACAGCACAGGGGACTCCAGCGGGAACTGGGCGGGGATGAGGAGGGTGGAGCCCAGCCCGGGGCACGGGGCAGCCTTCACCTGCCAGGCGTCATCCAGGGGCTCCCCCAGCACGCAGAGCCCGCCCCCCTCTGCCCCAGAGCCGCTTCCAGAGTCTTCCTCAGCCTTCAGCCTCTCCAGCTCCTCGGCCGTCTGCAGGTGCAGCACCGCCCGCTCGTTCTCCGCCAGGTACTCCTGGAAGTCCTGAGTCTCGGGGGGCTGCGGGGGCGGCCAGCTGGGGCCCGCGGCTCCTTCCTCCTCCTCCTCCTCGCCCTGGCGCCGGCTCTCCAGCTCCAGCTTCATCAGCGTGTGCAGGAAGTGCGTGCGCACCCGCAGCGGGTTGAACTCGATGCGCCCGGCCACGTTCCCACAGCCGTCCCGCGAGCAGCCGCAGGGGAACGAGGTGCGATCCACCTGGGGACGGGGACAGGTGAGAGCCTGCAGGGACCCTCCAGAGTCCAAATCCCACCCCAAGGAGAGGGCTGAGACCCTGCAGGAGCCCTTCCACCTTGAATCCCACCCCAAACATCATGGTGGGGCCGCAAGGGAACGACGTGCGATCCACCTGGGGATGGGGACAGGGACAGGTGAGAGCCTGCAGGGACCCTGCCAGCCTGACCCCACCCCAAACATCATGGTGGGGCTGCACGGGAACAAGGTGAGATCCACCTGGGGACAGGGACAGGGCTGGGACCCTGCAGGAGCCCTCTAGGATCCAAATCCCACCCCAAACAGCGTGGTGGGGCTTATCCCAGCCAAGTGTCTCCATTGAGGGAGACGGACAGGTGGAGGATCCCACGGGATCCCCCCAGAGCCTGAATCCCACCCCAGACATCGTGGTGGGGCCGCACAGTAATGATGTGTGATCCACCTGGGGACAGGGACAGGTGAGACCCTGCAGGAGTCCTCCAGGGTCCAAATCCCACCCCAATGATAGGGCTGGGACCCTGCAGGGGCCCTCCCAGCCTGGATCCCACCCCAGACATCGTGGTGGGGCTTCATCCCAGCCAGGTGTCTCCATTAGGAGGACGTGAACAGGTGGAAGATCCCACAGGATCCCCCCAGAGCCTGAATCCCAACCCAAACATGGTGGTGAGGTGTTATCCCAGCCAGGTGTCTCCATTGGGAGGATGTAGACAGGTGTGGGACCCTGCAGGAGCCCTCCAGGGTCCAAATCCCACCCCAAACATCACGGTGGGGTTGTATCCCAGCCAGGTGTCTCCACTGGGAGGATGTGAACAGGTGCAGGATCCCACAGGATCCCATCTGGATCCCACCCTCCATTCCCCCAGAGCCTGAATCCCACCCCAGAGTGACCCCAGATCCCACCTGGACAGCAGGGATTTGGGGTGGGGAGGAGTTGACGCATTCCAGGTATGGCCCAAACACACCTGGAGCTGCTCCTGGAGGAACCAGAGCTCCCCAGCACCTGTTGGAGCCCAGGTGCCCCAGCTGGCAGCCTCTGCCCCCTCAAGGAGCAAGGACAGGGCACAGTGGGTGTGCCCCGAGGCCCACCTGTGCCCCCTTATCCCAGCTCACCTGGCACTGGGTGCCCTCACCTGGCTCTCCCCACTCCTCAGGAGGCACACAAGGACCACCCCCAACCCCCTCCCAGGTTTAACCTGGCACTGGATGCCCTCACCTGGCTCCCCTGGCTGTCCTGGCTCTCTCCTGGCACACAATGACCACTCCAGCCCCTCCATGTCTCACCTGGCACTGGATGCCATCACCCGGCACACAATGACCAGCCTGGCCCCCCTGTGTGTCTCACCTGGCACTGTGTGCCCACCTGGCCCCCTGCCCAGCCTCACCTGGCACTGGATGCCCACCTGGCACCGGATGCCCTCACCTGGCACTGGATGCCTGCCTGGCTGCAGGCACAGGTGCGCGGCTCGCAGGTGAGGCGGCAGTGGCACCCGCACTGTTCCCGGGTCTGGATGCCCTCCCCTGGCACACAATGACCACCCTGACCCCCTGCCCAGCCTCACCTGGCACTGGATGCCCGCCTGGCCCCCCTGTGTGTCTCACCTGGCACTGGATGCCCGCCTGGCCCCCCTGTGTGTCTCACCTGGCACTGGATACCCGCCTGGCCCCCCTGTGTGTCTCACCTGGCACTGGATGCCCGCCTGGCTGCAGGCGCAGGTGCGCGGCTCGCAGGTGAGGCGGCAGTGGCACCCGCACTGTTCCCGGGACTGGCGCAGCGCCCGCAGCTCCTGGCGCTCCTCGGCGTCAATCCTGCGCACGCCCGAGGCGCGCAGCAGCGCCCGGCGCCGCTTGGTGGGCAGCGGCTGCAGGTAGAAATAATCGCCCACCTCCACCTGCCCCACGTCCAGGTCATCGTCCGACACGTCCGCCAGCGTCAGCCCCGCGGCCTCGGCCGACGGCACCGTCCCGTTCTGGGTCAGCTGGGAGGGAGAAGGGTTGAAAATCTGAGCGGGATCAGCACAAAACCACCCCCAAAATTACATTAATTCACCCATTTTCCCTCTCTTTTCCTCCAAAATTTAAAATCGCCTTTATTACCCTGCGATTCTCCCCTGCTAATGCTCAGAATTTCCTTCCAAACTCATCCTGTCAAAACTCCCTCAAAACCCCTCCCCAGTTCCTAAAAAATTCCCTAAAATTCAAAGGAAATTCATGCTGGGCAAAGCACTGCAGGATTGACGGGGCTGTGGGCACAGTGGGAGTCAGCACAAAACCATCCTCAAAATTACATTAAATTCACCTATTTTCCCCTCTATTTTACTCCAAAATTTAAAATTACCCTGTAATTCCCCCCTGCAAATACTCAGAATTCCACTCCAGGTTCCCTCCAAACTCACCCCATCAAAACCCCTCCCCAGTTTCTCTAAAATACCCCAAAATTCAAAGGAAATTCATGCTGGGCAAAGTAGTAGAGGGTGACCTGGGCCTGGGATGGATGGGGCTGCAGCATAGCACAGGTCAGCACAAAATCACCCCCAAAACTACATTAAATTCACCCATTTTCCCTCTATTTCCCTACAAAATTTTTAATTTTCCCATAATTTTAATTTTTCCTCCCTGCAAATGCTCAGAATTCCCCTCCAGGTTCCCTACAAAATCACCCCCACCAAAACTCCCCAAAATAGAAAATTTGGGGAGTTGGAAAGGAATTAAAGCTTGGTAAACCCTGGGAAATGTTAAAGGTGGGCCCTAGGAAATGTCAGGCCTTGTGTTTGCTGGATCAGGTGAAACTGCACCTGGGTAATCAGTGTATTATAAATAATTATTAGATATAATTATTGTTTAATTGTAAGAAGAATCATGAGAAACTGTCAGGGGTTTGAGGGGAATCACAAGAAATCCATGCTTGGATGAAACCAATGTATACAACAGAATAATCTAAGTTTAATAATTAATACGTAAATTATATAATTATAGAATATAAAACATGTTCAGCTTGAAACCGTGGTGGATCAGATTTGGGTCTGTACCCCTGACACCCAGAGCTCCTCAATAAAAGCACTGCAGGTGCTGCAGAATCATAATCCATAATCATAATAAATCATAATCAATCAACCTATAATGATTCTCTAATTTTGTGTTCCTGGACACTGACAGAGCGACACATGTGGGGATGAGGGACCACAGGGGTCACCTGGCCAGGTGTCCTTCCCTCCACCCAAACTGAGCCTTGTCCCTCCCAGGGCTTGCCCACCCAAAGGAAAAGTGATTTTTCTGTTGGGGTTTTTCAGAAAGGCACTGCCAGATTCACCCAAAACCAAAGGAAAAGCTTTGGTTTTCACCCAAAACCGGGATTTTGGGATTGATTTGGAATGGAATTCACCCTAAACCAAAGGAAAAGTGTTTTTTCTGTTGGATTTTTTCAGAAAGGCACTGCCAGATTGACCCCAGAACCCCTGATCACCCCCAGGTGCCACCCAGGTGTTTCCTACACTGATTTTCCCCTGTACCTCCTAAGACCCCCCCAAAGTGTTTCCCACCTGGATTCCCCCCAGTTTGCCCCTCTTCCAACCTCACCCAGGCATTTTTCACTTCCCTCCCCCAAACCCCTCCCCAAGGGCTTTCCCACCTGCCCACCACCAAACCCATCCAGCTATTCCCCACCTGGATTCTGCTCTCCCTCCCCAGGTATTCTCCACCCAGACACCCTCTGTCACCCCAAATCCCCTCCAGGTGTTCTCCACCTGGGTCCCCCATTGCTGCCCCTCCAGGTGTTTCCCACCTGCATTCTGCCCTCCCTCCCCAGCTATTTCCCACCTGGATTCCCCCTCCCTCCCCAGTTATTTCCCACCTGTCTTCTGCCCTCCATCTCCAGGTATTTCCCACCTGGATTCTGTCCTCCCTCTCCGAGTATTTCCCACCTGGATTCTGTCCTTCCACTCCAGGTATTTCTCACCTGGGTTCCCCCTCTCTCCCCAGCTATTCCCCACCCAGATTCTGCTCTCCCTCCCCAGGTATTCTCCACCCAGACACCCTCTGTCACCCCAAATCCCCTCCAGGTGCTCTCCACCTGGGTCCCCCACTGCTGCCCCTCCAGCTACTTCCCACCTGGATTCTGCCCTCCATCTCCAGTTATTTCCCACCTGGATTCCACCCTTACTCCGTCCTTCTCCAGGTATTTCCCACCTGTATTCCATCCTCCATCCCCAGCTATTCCCTACCTGGATTCCCCACCTGGATTCTGCCCTCCTTCTCCAGGTATCTCCCACCTGGATTCCCCCTCCCTCCCCAGTATTCCCCACCTGGATTCTGCCCTCCTTCTCCAAGTATTCCCCACCTGGATCCACCCACCCTCCCCACGTATTTCCCACTTGGATTCTGCCCTCCCTCTCCAGGTATCTCCCACCTGGATTCCCTCTCCCTTCTTCCCCAGTTATTTCTCACCTGTATTCCACCTTCCCTCCCCAGGTATTCCCCACCTAGCTTCCCCCTCCCTCCCCAGCTATTTCTCACTTGGATTCCCTGCCTCCCTCCCTCTCCAGCTATTTCTCACCTGTATTCCACCCTCCTTCTCCAAGTATTCCCCACCTGGATTCCACCCTCCCTTTCCAGCTATTTCGAACCTGGATGCTGCCCTCCATCTCCAGGTATTCCCCATCTGGATTCTGCCTTCCCTCCCCAAGTATTCCCCACCTGGATTTCCCCTCCCTCCCCATGTATTTCCCACTTGGATTCTGCCCTCCTTCTCCAAGTATTTCCCACCCGGATTCCCCTTCTCTCCCAGCTATTCTCCACCTGAATTCCCCCTCACTCTCCAGGTATTCCCCAGCTGGATTCCCCCTCTGTCCCCAAGTATTTCCCACCTGGATTCCCCTTCCCTGTCTCCCTCCTTCCCTCCCCAGCTATTTCCCACCTGGATTCTGCCCTCCTTCTCCAAGTATTCCCCACCTGGATTCCCCCTCCCTCCCCAGGTATTCCCCACCTGGATTCCCCCTCCCTCCCCAGGTATTTCCCACACGGATCTCCCTCCCCTCCCCCAAGTATTTCCCACCTAGATTCCCCCCATCCCCTCCCCAGGTATCTCCCACTTGGATTCCCCCTCTCTCCCTCCCTCACCCCCAGCTATTTCCCACCTGAATTCCTCCCTCCCTCCCCAAGTATTCCCCACCTGGATTCCCACCCGATCCCTCCCATTCCCCCTCACCTCTCTCCTCCTGGCGCGCAGTTTCTCCCGCCGCAGGTGCTGCCGCAGGTGCTGCCGGTGGCTCACCTGGCGCAGGTGAGCGAACTGGCTGAGGCTGTACCTGCGGGCACGGTGGTGCCGGGGGGCCATGCCCAGGGAGCTGCCCCCGGCGCTGGGCACGCAGGTGAAGCCCTGGCGCCGGGCGAAGTAATAAACGGTGACCTGGGCAAAGCGCACGCGCTTCCCGCCCCGGCGCGCCCGGGAGCGCCGCAGGATGGACGGGGCTGCGGGCACAGAGGGGCCACAATGAAAACACACCCAAAATTACATTCAATTCACCCATTTTCCCTCCAAAATTTAAAATTACCCCGTAATTCGCCAATGCAAAAGGTCAGAATTCCGCTCCAGGTTCCCTACAAACTCACCCCATCAAAACTCCCTCAAAATCCCTCCCCAGCACCTCTAAAATTTCCCAGAATTCAAAGGAAATTCATGCTAGGCAAAGTGCCACAGGCTGGACAGGGCTGTGGGCACAGAGAGGGGCAGCAAAAAACCACCCCCAAAATTACACAAAATTCACCCATTTTTCCTCCATTTCCCTCCAAAATTTAAAAATCCCCTTTGTTTCCCCTTCACTCCTCCCTGCAAATGCTCAGAATTCGCCTCCAGGTTCCCTACAAAGTCACCCCATCAAAACTCCCCCAAAATCCCTCCCCAACTCCTCTAAAATTTCCCAGAATTCAAAGGAAATTCATGCTGGGCAAAGCACAGCAGGATGGATGGGGCAGCAGGCACAGAGAAGTCACAATGAAACCACAGCCAAAATTATACAAAATTCACCCATGTTCCCTCCATAATTTAAAATTATCCCCTAATCCCCCCCTGCAAATGGTCAGAAATCCACTACAAACTGACCCCATCAAAACTCCCTCAAAATCCCTCCCCAGCACCTCTAAAATTTCCCAAAATTCAAAGGAAATTCATGCTGGGCAAAGTGCCACAGGCTGGATGGGGCTGCGGGCAAAGCGTGCGTCAGAGCTGGCCAGCACAACATCACCCCCAAAATTATACAAAATTCACCCATTTTCCCTCTATTTCCCGCCAAAATTTAAAAATCCCCTTTATTTCTCCTTAATTCTTCCCCTGTATGTGCTCAGAATTTCCTTCCAAACTCACCCAGTCAAAATTCCCTCAAAATCCCTCCCCAGCTCCTCTATAATTTTCCAAAATTCAAAAGAAATTCATGCAGGGCAAAGCTCTGCAGGATGGACAGGGCTGCAGGCACAGCACGGGCCAGCACAAGATCACCCCCAAAATTACATCAAATTCAAGCCTTTTCCCTCTATTTCCCTCCAAAATTTAAAATTACCCTGTAATTCCCCCCTGCAAATGGTCAGAATTCTTCTCCAGGTTCCCCCAAAATCCTTTCTCAACTTCTCCGAAGTTTCCCAATTTTCAAAGGAAATTCAAGTGCCATGAACTACCCAAATAATTCCTCATGAATGCCCCTATCTCCCAAACTTTCAAAAAATTCCAGAAATTCCCCAAGCCTCCAAAAAGTCAAAAAATTCCTTCAAATTTCCCTGAAATTTAAAAAAAAAATCTCAGGGTTGTCCCTCAAATTCTAAAGACTCATCAGAAATTAAAAAAAAAAAAAAATCACCAAATTAAAAAAAATCACCAAAATTGAAAACCCCAAATTCCCTGAAATTAAAAATCCCAAAATTCCCCAAAATTAAAAATCCCCAAATCCCCCAAAATTACTATTTTGTAAAACTGAAAACCCGAAAGTTCTCCCCCCAAAAAATTGCTACGAAATTCCCCCGCAATTCCAATAAATTCCACACCATTCCCTAACACTCCCCAGAAAATCCACCCCACCACCCAAATTCCCGAAACCCATTAAAAAAACCCCCAGAATTCCCAAAAATAAATGAAAAATTCTCCCGGAACCCCGCCCACAGCCGGCCCCGGCTCACGGGCGGCGCTGCCGGTGCTGCCGCCGCTGTCGCAGCTGTCGCCGCTGTCGCTCGTGGCGATCTCGTCGTCGGAGGCGACCGAACCCGATCCCGATCCTGATCCCGGTCCCGCATCCTCCTGTTTGCGCTTGATCCCGGCGCTCGGGACCGCGGCCATCGGGGCTCGGCTCGCATGGAGAGCCCGGCGGGACCGGACGGGCCCGGAGCGGCCTGCGGAGAGCGGCGGGACACGGCGGGTCAGAGCCCGGGCTGATCCCCGCGTAAATCCCCCGGTCCCAGCCGGAGCTGCGGGTCCAGCCCTGGTGTTCGTGTTTCAGGAGTCATTCTGGCTCGGGATGGGCAGGAGATGCTCGGGGTTCTCCGAGGGTTCTGCTCTGCTCATCCCGGAGGATTCCCGGGCCCACGGGAGCTCCCTCCCCGTGCCGGCCCAGCACCGGGATCCCACACAAACACTCACCCCAGCTTCCCCACACAAACATTCACCCCAGATTTTCCACACAAACATTCACCCCAGCTCTTCCACACAAACATTCACCCCAGCTCTTCCACACAAACACTCACCCCAGCTTCTCCACACAAACACTCACCCCAGCTTTTCAACACGGGATCTCCACACAAACACTCACCCCAGCTTCTCCACACAAACATTCACCCCAGCTTCCCCACACAAACACTCACCCCAGCTTTTCCACATGGGATCTCCACACAAACATTCACCCCAGCTTCTCCACACGGGATCTCCACAGAAACATTCAGCCCAGCTTCCCCCATCCCGGCTTTTCCACTCGGGATCTCCACACAAACACTCACCCCAGCTTTTCAAAACAAACATTCACCCCCAGTTTGCTCCATCCCAGCTTTTCCATTCGGGAATCTCCACACAAACATTCACCCCAGGTTCATCCGTCCCAGCTTCTCCATTCGGGATTGATTTGGGATGGAATTAATCCCAAACCAAAGGAAAAGTGATTTTTTGGTTGGGTTTTTTTTTTTTGAAGAGGCACTGCCAGATTCACCCCTAGAACATCCTGATCACCCCCTAAAATCCCCTAAAAATCTCCACACAAACACTCACCCCAGCTTTTCCACCTGGGATCTCCACACAAACATTCACCCCAGCTTCCCCTATCCCAGCTTCTCCACTCGGGATTGATTTGGGATGGAATTCACTCAAAACTAAAGGAAAACTGATTTTTGTTGGGTTTTTTATTTGGAAAGGCACTGCCAGATTCACCCCTAGAACATCCTGATCACCACTTAAAAACCCCTAAAGATCTCCACAGAAACATTCAGCCCAGCCTCCTCCATCCCAGCTTTTCCACTTGGGATTGATTTGGGATGGAATTCATCCCAAACCAAAGACAAACTGATTTTTGTTGGTTTTTTTTAAGAGGCACTGCCAGATTCACCCCTGGAATATCTTGATCACCCCCTAAAATCCCCTAAAGATCTCCACACAAATATTCCACCCAAGTTCCTCCATCCCAGCTTCTCCACTTGGGATTGATTTGGGATGGAATTCCCTCAAAACTAAAGGAAAAGCTTTGGTTTTCACCCCAAAAAAAGGGTATTCCAGGATTGATTTGAGAAAGAATTCACTCAAAACCAAAGGAAAAGCAAATTTTTGTTGGGTTTTTTTTTGAAGAGGCACTGCCAGATTCACACCTGGAATATCCTGATCACCCCCTAAAATCCCCTATAGATCTCCACACAAACATTCACCTCAGCTTCAAGAATTCCTGTGTGCATTCCCATTCAGGATTGATTTGGGATGGAATTCATCCCAAAATCAAAGACAAACTGATTTTTGTTGGTTTTTTTTAAGAGGCACTGCCAGATTCACCCCTGGAAGACCCTGATCACCCCCTAAAATCCCCTAAAGATCTCCACACAAATATTCCACCCAAGTTCCTCCATCCCAGCTTCTCCACTTGGGATTGATTTGGGATGGAATTCATTCAAAACCAAAGGAAAAGCTTTGGTTTTCACCCAAAAAATGGGATTTCAGGATTGATTTGGGGTGGAATTCGCCCCAAACCAAAGGAAAAGTGATTTTTTTGTTGGGTTTTTTTTTGGAAAGGCACTGCCAGATTCACTCAAAACCAAAGGAAAAGCTTTGGTTTTCACCCAAAACCCGGGATTGTGGGATTGATTTGGGATGGAATTCGCCCCAAACCAAAGGAAAAGCGATTTTTTGTTGGGGTTTTTTTCCCAGATTCACCCCTGGAACATCCTGATCACTCCTAAAATCCCCTAAAGTTCAGAAAAACCACCAGATGCTCCAACAATTCCCAGCCCATCACAGGTTGGGAACGATCCTCTCTGGGATTTTCCTGCCCCACACCCCTTAATCCCAAAAACCTCAAAAAAAAATCCCAAATAACCCATGGCCATATTTGGGATTTGGGGAAATTTGCAGCTCTGGGTTGGAAAAGGGAATTTTTGGACCTGATTCCCATTGGGAAAGTTCCAGGATGAATTTGGGAGCCCTTTGGGGGTTGGGTTTTGGGTGGGATTTGTCAGATCTGGATCCAGCCCTGTCCCCTCCAGATGGGAACATTGGTTGGGGTCCCAAAGGAAAAACAAAAATTCCCAACGCATGCACCAGTTCAGGGTGAAATCCTGGGTTTTTTGGGGTTTTTTGGGAGGAAAAGTGGGGAATGCTGGTGGCAGAGGGGGGAAAGAGGAAGGAATTGATCAATCCAAATCCCAGGAGGAGCAGAGGTGGAAAACATCACCCCCCCCCACCATTTCCAGCTGCCTAAAATTGCTGAAAATCCTCAAATTATTCCCTAAAACTGAATTTCCATAGGAAATCAGAGCTGCAGTCTGGGTGGGATCCCACCTGATGGATCTGGCAGGATGGGATTCTCACTCCTCACATAAAAATCCAAATTATTCCAAATTATCCTTTCTGTGATGTATAAAAACTCCTGAAAGAGTCAGAATGAATGAGGAAAAAAAAACCCAAACAAATGAAAATATTAAGGTTCCATTTTTACACATTTTTAAATTGGGAGGAATTTGAAATGAGGAAGGAAAAAATGGGTTCAAAAGCTGAGGAAGTGGGAAATTTTAATTATTAAACCTCACCAAAAGGAGTTAAATTAAAAATATAAATTTTTCCCATGTTCTGGAATCACTTTAGGAGCAGGGAAGGGATCAGGAGAGTTTGGGATTCCTGGAACACAGGAGCTGATCCAAGCAGGGTTGGACAAGCTGGGATCACCAGGAATTGTCCATCCCACCTGGCCAGGTGAGCACCAAACCCTTTTATCTCCAGCTATCCCAAGAAATTGGGAATGATTTTCTGATTTTCCAATCCTGTGAGGACTGGAAAATCCCAAATCTCCCTTGGATCAAGGGGATTCTCAAGAATTCCTGCTTGCACTTCCAAAATTATATAAAATTTATAAAACTTCCAGCACCCATTCTTCTGCTCAAGATAACAATATTCCCATAAAAATCCATGTAAAATTCCCATAAAAATCCACATAAGGTTCCCACAAAAATCCATATAAAATTCCCATAAAAATCCACATAAAATTCCCATAAAAATCCACAGCCAAAAATGGATTCTCTGGATGGATTTCAGGGATCCAGGAGATTCCAGGGTGAAATTGGGAATGATCCACGAGCAGCTCTGGTGGAATCCACCCAGAAAGGCTCAGGGAACACCAATGAATCCAATCCAGGTGTTGTTCCAGCCAAAAATTGGGATTTTTGGGATGATCACCAGGAAGATTTGGGCAGTCTGGAACCATAAAGAATGAGTGAAGGTTTCCAATGTTTTCCTCAAGAAATGGGTGAAGCTTCCCAATGTTTTCCCCAAGAAATGGATTTCCCATGGATCTGAGCCCATCCCAGGTCACTGCTGACATTCCCAGCTCTGGGTTTTTGGGATGAAATATGGGAAATTTGGGAAATCAGCTCCCACAGAGCTTCCAGCATTTCTGCAAGCACCATCCCAAGGAGGATCCATTTGGGGTGAGGAAGGAAAAATGGGTTCAAATCCTGAGGGAGAAGCCGCAGGAATGCAGAATTTCAGGGATTAAACCTCACCGAGAGGAGTTAAATTAAAAATATTATTTTTTTCCCCATGTTCTGGAATCACTTTAGGAGCAGGGAAGGGATCAGGAGAGTTTGGGATTCCTGGAGCTGATCTGGGAAACCTCCTGGCTGAAAGAGCCTGGGAAGGAGGGCCAGGTGTCCCCAGGTGTTGGGGGACAGAAAGGTGACCCCCAAAAACCCCTCCTTGGGCCCTGTGTCCATCACTGGAACTGGGAGATCAAGGGGGGTCCATCAGCACCTGGATCCAGAGGCCCAGGAGGGGAAGGGGACCCCCAAAGGTGCTCCATGAGTACCTGGGGGGGATGGAAAAGGTGATCCCACAAAACTCCCTGGGGCTGCAACCAAGGGATGGAGGTGGAGGAGACCCCAGGACACCTGGATGCAGACAGCAGCCCTGGACAGGTGAGGGTTGGGCAGCAGGAGCCCCTCCCAGGGTGTCTCACCTGTCCCAGGGTCACCTGGGACCCCCAAAATCACCTTGGAGGGGAAGGTGAGGCCTGGAGAGGAACACCAGAACAGCCCCTCCCCCACCTCTGGGGACACCTGAACCCCCAGGTGTCACCTCCCCATCATCATCATCACCAGCAGCACCTCAAGGACCCCCCCCAACACAGCCCCAGGGCCCCCATGACATGAGGTCCCCAAGGGCATCCTGAGCACCTCCAGTGCCCCCCCATGGTACACAGAGGGGAGACCCCACCTGCCAGGACCCCCCAAAAGCCCCTCCCCAAATGTAACGGGGGGCCCTACACAGCCCCTACAGCCCCCCCAAGTGCAGAAGGGGAACTGTAAGGAGCCCCCACACCCCCTATAGGAGCCCATCCCCATCTCCTATAGCCACCATCCCCTACAGGCACCCCCAGATGTTTCCAGCAGGGGCAGCCCCACATTTCATACAGCCCCCCATTTCCCATGGATCCATGGTTATAAGGACCCCCCCTCACCCCCCATACACTCTACAGCCTCTCATCTCCTAAAAGCTCTTATATAAGGCCCACCCTGTATCCCCTACAGCCCTCCCTCATCCCCTGCAAGCCCCCCAGCTGTAGGGCCCCTCATTGCCCCAGAGGCCCCCAACACATCCCCCATGGCTCCCCTGCCCTACAGCCCCCCATCCATAACACCCCCACATCCCCTTTGCCTGCCCTGGCTGTGAAGCCCCCAGACCCTTTCACCCCCATCCCTGATAGCGCTGGAATGGCCCCCAGCCCCTACAGCACTCCCATTCCTCAGTACACCCCAATTCCTTGGAACCCCCCCTCCCTCACAGCCCACCCAGTCCCTCACAGCCCTCAGAGCTCCCATATCCCTTGGAACCCCAAATTCCTCACAGTCCCCCATCCTCTACAGCCCCCCCCCCGCCCCTTGGAACCCAAAATCCCTCACAGCCCCCCCATCCCTCATGGGCCCTCCATCCCTTGGAACCCAAAATTCCTCACGGCCCCCTCCCCCCACCGCAATCCCCCACAGCTCCCCATTCCTTGGAACACCCCTAATCGTCGGAACCCCTCCAACCCTCACAGCCCCCCATCCCTCACAGCCCACCCCCCATCCCCCACAGCCCCCCAGTCCATTTGAACTCCAAATCCCTCACAGCCCCCCCATCTCTCAGAATCCCCCATTTCTCACAGCCTCCATAACCATTGGAACCCCAAATTTCTCACAGCCCTCCATCCCCTACAGCCCCTCAACCCTTGGAATCCCCAATCCCTCACAGTCCCCATATCCCCTGGACCCCCCATCCCTCACAGCCCCCCCCATCCCTTGGAACCCCCAATCCCTCACAGCCCCCATATCCCTTAGAACCCTCCTTCCCTTGGAACGTTCAATCCCTCACAGCCCCCCCCCCCCCATCCCTCAGAGCCCTCCCCGCCCCCCGCAGGCGGGGCCGCGCCCCCACGCTCCCTCCAGCGCTGCCGCTGCCGCCGTTCCCCGCACTCACCGGTGCCCGAGGGGGGTTTTGGGGCCCGGTTGGGGGCGGGGGGCGCTGGGGGGGGCCCCGGGGCCGCTCCCAGGGGGGTCCGGGGCCGCTCCCGCCCCGCCGCGCGCGCCGACAACAATGGGGCCGCGGCCGCTGCGCCGCCGCTTTTATACCGCCCCGCGTCACGTGATCCCCGCGCCGCCGCCGCGCCGCCGCGAGGCACCGTGGGAAAGCGAGTTCCCTGGGGACTCCCCGCAGGGCAGCGCTGGCGCGGGGTGTGATGGGAAATGGAGTCCGGAAGTGCGGAAGATGGCGGGCTGGGGGAGATCGTGGGCTCAGGAAGGGTTTGGGGTAGAAAGGACCTCAAAGATCGTCCTGTGCCACCCCTGCCATGGCAGTGTGATAAATAGGTATGATTCGTGCTGATAAAAATTAAAACAGTAATCAATATTGATACAGTAATTAATATTTGAGAGTAATAAAACAGTTAATAGTTAAAAGTTGTAATGCCAAAGAAGAGAGGGAAAGGAGGGGCTCCACCCACCCCCCCTTCCCAGCAGGTGTTCTCAAGGACCACAGGAAAGAAGCTGGAAATACAGTTGCTAAAAATGACCAAGAACCTGGTTGGGTCCAAGAAAATGCTAATTATAAGGGACTTATTGCTTTGATATGTAGATGCAGTGATACGTTAGCCTTGGCTTACATTGTACTGGCTTGGAGCGCATGTGTAACCCAAAGGTGAATTAAAGGACAACGAAGAAGACTACAGAGCCTTCATCAGTGACGACCCCCAAAGACTTGTGCGATAACCAAACCAAGTGGTGGCGCATGCGTGGTAAAGGTGGTGAGGAGGGCGGAGACAGAAAAGTGACGAACCGAAAATAGGAGGAGATGGCATTGACGCACGGCATATAAGGGGTGACTTTCACTTGGCAAACTTGTACGTGAAGTGGCAAGGGTCATTGAACCCTGCCCTCCGTACCCCGCGGTTGTTTTTGCTTATGCGCTATTATTTGAACCAAATTATCCCTTGTTTATATATTTTCTAAACTATTTAATTAAAATTGTTAGTACTTTTAATATTGTTTGGCCTTTTTATGATGGGATAATTGGGCAAACATAACAGCAGGGACACCTCCTTGTGCCCCAGGGTGCTGCAAACCCTGCCCAGCCTGGCCTCGGGCACTGCCAGGGACGGGGCACCCACAGCTCGCAGGGAAATCCATCCCAGGGCCTGCCCGCCTGTGGTTCCTCACAGCCAGGAATCCCTGCCCGATGTCAAAAATCACTTGGTTTTAAAATATTAAAAGTTTAATAGTAATAAAAGGGTTATAAAAATAGTCATAAAATCAGGGTAATAAAAATGTGGACAACTGGGAGTAGGACAATACGAGACAATAAAAACAAAGAGTTACAGACAGTCCGGGTACCTTTTCTGGGCAAAATAAGCCCACAAAAGGACCCAGGTTAACAGAGGATTAACCCTTAAAAGCAACAGCCTGTTGCATATTCATACACCTCATCCATGATGCATAAATTCCATTCAAACACAGGATTCCGTCTGGGCAGTGTCAGCTTTTTCCTCTGAATCTTGATGGCGAGGCCGGAAGAAGTTAATTTCTTCTGATAATGAAGCAGTGAATTCTCTTTCTCTGAAGGATTTTGGTGTCCTGTGGCTGCTGTCTCAGTGGAGTACCTCATTCTTTTCTTTAAAAAAAAACTATCTTACATAGCACAATTTCTATTTTAACATTATGTTATGACCTAAACTCTATTTAACACACTACTTAAGAAAATGATTACAGCATCACTTTCTAACACAACGCATATAATATTAATTTTAATATTTGTGAAAAGCCAATCAAAATACACATTTTTCACAAGAAGAAATCCAAGAGCAGAGCAGGTCACTCAGTGAGGGATGCAGAGGAAGCAGGGCCCTCCCAAGCCCAAGATCCAGGCTCTGGAATGTTCTCTGGAGGATCCTGGGTGGAGCCCAGGCTCTGAAAGGTTCTCTGGATCAATTCCTATGGGTCTGGGTGCAGCCCAGGGATTCTGGAAGGTTCTCTGGAGCAGTTCTCAGGGTGGAGCCCAGCACATGATCCAGGCTCTGGAAGTTTCTCTCTGGAGCAGCTCCCTGGATGGACCCCAGGATCTGGAAGGTTCTCTGGAGCATTTCTTTGGTTGGAGCCCAGGATCCAGGCTCTGGAAGTTTCTCTGGAGCAGTTCCCTGGGTGGAGCCCAGGTTCTGGAAGTTTCCAGAGCTCTGTCACCCTGCCCCAGCTCCCTGTCAGTGGTGCCAATGGAGGCAGCAGAGCAGACACTGCCTCAGGTGAGTCCCCAACCCTGGCACCACGGGGACCATCCTTGTTCCTCCCCACTGACCTCAGCTGAGGGAGGACACTCCAAGACCTTGGGCAGAGTCACAAGTGTCACCCAGATTAGGAAATGTCCCCTGTCCCACCATCATGGGCCAGTCTCTGCTGTTGGGAGCAGCTCCAGAGAGAGGGGACACCCCAGAGGACACCCCAGAGCTCACCTGTAGTGTCACCTGTGGTGTCACCTGTGGTGTCACCTGTGGTGTCACCTGGATGGCACAGACAGGGCTGGAGGGACTGGGGCCTCGGCTGGTGCTCACAGAAGTGTCTCAGGTGCTCAATTCCCATCTGTCAGAGGTGGGGCAGTTATCTTCTCTTCATGGGGCAGTTTTCTTTATCTCTGCCACAACCAATCCTCCCTCCGGGAGATATCTCCTGTTCGTGGGCCATTAATTATTAATTATGTTCTGTTCATGGGCCAGTGAGTGTTCCTGCATGGCTGATAAAATTCCATCATCCCACTGGGAGATGCTCCGCCCAGAGGGAGGAGCCAAACATTCCTACCTGGATACAATCTGGGATTTCAAACATTCCTACCTGGATACAATCTGGGATTTCAAACATTCCTACCTGGATACAATCTGAGATTTCAAACATTCCTACCTGGATACAATCTGAGATTTCAAACATTGCTACCCAGATATAATCCAGAGGTTTTTGAGACACCAGCACAGCTTCTCCACTGGATTTCCCAGAGGAGCAGCAGCTGCCTCTTCTCCTACTGGATCTTCAGAGGAAGAACAAATCCTTCTCTACAGGATCCCTGCTCCAGCAGAACCACCCCTGACACTGCAGGAGGGCTGAGCCACAATTCCAATGGGACTGCTGCCAACACCCTGACCCACAGGGTGTCAGGTTCGGTTGTGACCCTGTCAGTGTTGTTCTAGTGTACTGCATTGTTTATTTTATCTTTTTATTTTTTCTTTTCCCTATTAAAGAACTGTTATTTCCTGCTCCCATATTTTTTTGCCTGAGAGCCCCTTAATTTAAAATTTATAGCAATTCAGAGGGAGGGGGAGGGTTTACATTCTCCATTTCAGGGGAGGCTCCTGCCTTCCTTAGCAGACTCCTGTCTTTCCAAACCAAGACAAATTAATTGGCCTTCTGATAAGATGGAGTTCTCCTCATCCTCTTTGTCCCCTTTGTCCCCTTTGTCGGGGTTGCCTGGATTTCTGACACCGCTGTCTGGGGGTGACCCTGCTGTGAGGATGAGGATGATTATGAGGATGAAGATGAAGATGAGGATGGGCTGCTCCAGTGGGGAGCTCTGGGCACAGCAGCCCTCATGTCCTGGGGGATCCAGGACGGACACATGGACAGCCAGGACTGACTGACCTCAACGCACACCTGGGACAGCGGGGGACTGAGGAGGTGAACTCCAGATGTGTGTGAAATGTGGGTACAGCTGGAATGTGGGGGAACCTGGGCAGGGGTGGGTGATGCAGGAAATGGGTGAGGGCAAGGTGTGGGATGAGGAATGATGTGGATGGTGTAAAATAAAAGGTAAATGCAAAGTTTGGGATAAGGGATGGTGTGGATGGTGTAAAGGGTGAGTGCAAGGTTTAGGATGAAGAATGACATGGATGGTGCAGAATAAAAGGTAAATGCAAGGTGTGAGATAATGAATGGTGTGGATGGTGCAGAATACAGGATGAGTACAAGCTGTGGGATAAGGAATGGTGTGGATGGAGCAAAATAAAGGGTAAATGCAAAGTTTGGGATAAGGAATGGAATGGAATGGAATGGAATGGAATGGAATGGATGGTGTAAAATAAAGGGTAAATGCCAAGGTTTGGGATGAGGAATGGTGTGGATAGTGTAAAGATGAGTACAAGGTGTAGGATAAGGAATGGTATGGATGGTGTAAAGTAAAGGGTAAATGCAAAGTTTAGGATAAGGAATGGTGTGGATGGCGCAGAATAGAGGATGAGTACAAACTGTAGGATAAGGAATGGTGTGGATGGAGAATAGGATGAGTGCAAGGTGTGGGAGGAGTAAAATAAAGGGTAAATGCAAAGTTTAGGATAAGGAATGGTGTGGATGGTGTAAAAGGTGAGTGCAAGGTTTGGGATAAGGAATGACATGGATGGTGTAGAATAAAGGATGAGTGCAAGATGTGAGATAAGGAATTATGTGGATGGTGTAAAGGATGACTGCAATGCTTAGGACAAGGAATGATGTGGACAGTGTAGAATAAAGGGTGAGTGCAAGGTTTGGGATAAAGAATGGTATGGATGGAGTAAAATAAAGGGTAAATGCAAGGTTTGGAATAAGGAATGACATGGATGGTGCAGAAAAAAGGATAAATGCAAGGTGTGGGATAATCAATGATGTGGATGGTATAAAGAGGGAGTGCAAGGTTTGGGATAAGGAATTATGTGGACGGTGTAGAATAAAAGGTAAATGCCAAAGTTTGGGATAAGGGATGGTGTGGATGGTGCAGAATCAAGGATGAGTATAAGCTGTGGGATATGGAATGGTGTGGATGGTGTAAAATAAAGGGTAAATGCGAGGTGTGGGATAAGGAATGGTATGGATGGTGCAGAATAAAGGGTGAGAGCAAAGTTTGGGATAAGGAATGGTGTGGATGGTGTAAAGGATGAGTACAAGGTGTGGGATAAGGAATGATGTGGCTGGTTGTCCTAGGGTGACCTTATGATACTT